GTTATGTAGGCTGAGGTTCACATGATCCACTAGTCACTTAAACAAATTGTTTCTATGTGTCTTTGGTTTTCTTCATTCTTCTTTGCTCTGGACAAGAAGAGACCAAATGGTTGCATCTAGATGGTCACTTGCAAGCTTTTAAGACCCCAGTTGCTACTCATCAAAGTAGGATGTAGAACAATATTTTTTTATAGTATGGTTTTGCCAATTGAGCTTGATGTCCCCTGCAACCATGATCCCAAGCCTACAGGTCCAACAACTCACTCCATCAGTGTGGTTGGCTAAGAAGTTATTATAACTTTGCTCTCTGTTAGTTCTATTTATATGGAAATTCTCACAGCACATACAGATACATGTGTAGAAATGCCATGTCAAACTTACATGTAACTCACTGCCATTGAGTCGAGTTCGACTCACAGCGGCCCCTCCTTGGGTTTACAAGGCAGTATCACTATGGAAGTAGATTGCCCAACCTTCCTTCTGAGGAGTGGCTGGTAGGTTTGAACCACCAGCCTTCTGGTTAGCAGTCAAATGCCTTAGGTGCTACGCCACCAGAGCTCCCAAACTTAGGGGTTTATTCCCTTTTGCTTAGACATACCTGACCATTCAGCCTGTCTACTACCTATGTACCTGCCCATGGGTTAATGTTTGTTATTACTGATAACACAGTGTTGTGTATGTAACATAATATTGTGTATTTGTTGCCTGTCCCTCTTGTGCACCTCTCTGTCTCCCTATTCCTTAGTGTTATTGTGTTGGTTACTGTCTTGGTATATTGCCTTTCCTTTCACCCAAATCAATACTGGTCTCTTCCCTATCTACAGAGCTGACCCTTTGTCACCCCTGCTGAACACTGGTCTGTGGCTCTTCATTACTTACAGGACACAACCCTTAGTGTGTTGCAAAGCCCTAGTAACCTACCCCTGTCCATCTCACCATTGTCGCTAGCCTCCCCTGCCCTGCCCTTCACCACTGGTGATTCTCAACACGTCATAGTTTGGGCCCACACACCATATTTAGGCAGTGTCCTCTAAAATGCTCCCTGCCCTTTTTCCTGGTAACTCCTACAAGACTTAGCTTAGGCATCATCTTCTCCAGATAGATCCTCCTTCCTCCCTCCTTTCAGCATTCATCGTCTCTCCACCACTGTACTTGCCACACTGTATTGAAATAACCTATTTGTCCCACTTCATCCCAATGTCTCTAGCTCCTAGCACAGAATCTGGCATGTAGCAAGGGCTTAGTAAATAGTTGTTAACTTGAACCATAGATAGTGATCTGCCTGCCAAAGAGATTTTGAGGAAGCCTGAGGAAAGGGCTGTGGGTCCACACACTGGGTCCTTAGTGATACTTGCCTTCCTGTGCCTCTCTCTGGACCAGCTGGAGAATAAGCTTATGGGCTTGATCTTGAAGCAGGTGTGTTCAAAGATGCCTCCAGCTGCTCTGCGGGTCTCCTTCCCAGCAGCTGTTGGCACAGGGGAAGCTCTACTTGCTTCTTCCGAGCCTGGCTGCTGCATACAGCTGCAAGGGCGTGTGCTGCTCGGTTTCAGGGAACATGCTCCCAGAGGCTGTAATGTGTGTGATGTCGTGGCCTGCCTAGGGGACAGTCCTGTCCTCAGATTGCAGCCTGCTGCCTAAACACCAGCTTCTCATGTATACAGGAGACAAAGTTCTGTGGTCCAAGAGGGCTGGCATCTCTTGAGCCTGAGAGAAAACCCAGGAGAGCCCAGGCTGGATAGGTCTCAGGGACCATTTTTGCTGGAGCAATTGTCTTTGCTCTCTTACTTCTGTTTCTGGATAGATGAGCCCTGAGCTCGACAGCATTGTCACCATCCTCATCAACCCATCATTGTGGGATGCTTACTTTGGGTTGGTAGAGCCCTAGGCACTGGGAGGTGGGCCCTGGTTTGGACAGGTGGACAGACTCCTTGGGAATTTGTATATAAGCAGTTTAGGAATAGAACCTGATGGTGCTTCTACCTGAGGCACCATGTGAGTTGTAGAAATGGGCTTCTAAAAGTACCCCTGGTGGTCTGGGCCAGTCAGAAGGCTCCATGGAGGAACAAGAGCTGGGTGAGCTGGCGTGACAGTGACTGATGGGGAGGTGGTCTGCTTTCTGCTGCTGGTTGACTTTCTGTGCCACCCCCACCTCTCTTTCTGTCTCCCCTTTGTCAGTCTCTCCTTCCTTGTCTCCCTTCCCACTGGCTCCTGTTCCCCACCCCTTGGTGGAGGTGCTGCAATTGTGAGGTCTGTTTTTATATTTAATTTTTGTTGTTGAGAACGTGTGCAGCACATACGCCAACCCAGCAGTTCCTACGTATGTGCTTCCCACGACGTCGATTGCCTTCTTCAAACTGTGCAGCCATCCTCGCCCTCTTTTCCTGAATTGTTCCTTCCCTGGTAACATTAACTCATTGTTGTTGTTGTTGTTGTTATGTGCCATCAAGTCAAACCCGACTCATAGCGACCCCTCCTTGGGTTTCCGAGAAGTAGGATTGCCCAACCTTCCTTCCGAGGAGTGGCTGGTGGGTTTGAACCACCAGCCATCTGGTTAGTAGGCAAGTGTCTTAGCCTCTATGCTACCAGAGCTCCCAACATTAACTCACTGCCCCCTAAATAGCCTCTCTAACCTTTCTGGCTGTTATTGTCAATTTGATCCCATGTAGATACCTCTTAAAAGACCACGGTGCTCAAGGCAGACATCCTTTACTACTTAAGCTAAACTGTTGTTTGGTTTAAAGAAGACTTCAGGGGGTATTTTTGGTTTAAGATTTAAAGATTAACTCAGGGGAGTCATGTCGGTTTCATCCAGTCTCCATGGCTGTAGTGTCAAGTTCATCCAGCCTCCATGGCTCCAGAAAGTCTAGAGTCCATGAGAATTTTAAATTCTGTTGTGCATGTTTTCCCTTTTGATCTGGATTCTTCTATGGGGTGGTAATGGTAGCTGGGCACTGTCTAGTCCTTCTGGGTTTATGGCAAAGGAGGCAGTTCATGGAGGCGATTAGCCGCACATTCATTTCCTTTTCCTCTTCCTGACTCCCCTTCCTCTGTTGCACCAGGCAAATGGAAACCAGGTCTCGTTCCTTGGATGGACACTTGCAAGCTTTCAAGTTTTACGAACTAGGTGATAGAACGGATGCACTAAATGTGTTATTAGGCCAGTTGTCCCCTGACGCCATGACCCTAAACCTCCAAACCAAGAAATCAAATCCCACGAGGTGTTTGGTTGTATGTACGTAGCTCTAGAGCTGCTCTGCAGGGCCGCTTTGTCAATGGCAGTGCAGGAAGGGAGGCATGATAGGAGAGGACTGCTTGGGGGCTTTGTGGAATATCCGGCTTAGACCCCCTGAGCTGTTCCTTCTAGGGCTGGCCACAGAAGGGCCAGTGCAGATGTCTTTTGACCCCATGTGAGCAGGGAGGGCCTTAGTGGAAAGCTGAGAGGGTAGGAGCAGGGGTGGACTCTTCCTCCATGGTTTCAGGCTGTAGCCACATCTCACTGGCAGCCTCACCCTCATAGTGGCCGTCATGGATGCTGACCCCACTTCCCCCTTCCTGCGCCTCCTGGATACTTCCTGTCTTTCACCTCTGGACACATGGCCCCTCCTTGCTGTTTCCATTCAGTTCCAGGTGTGGAGGTCCCCGGGGGGCTGTCCTAGCGAAGGAGGTGGGGAGGCCGGCTGGTGTTCACTGTGGCTCCAGGGAGTGTCGTCTAGGAAACTCAGGGCCCTGGGGAAGCATGCCCAGCCTGTTTCCTCTCCCTCGGGTGTTTGAGGCCCTGTCAGAAGTGTGACCTGGACTTTGGCAGAGACTTTCCAGTCCACTTCCAGTGCCTTTTGCCCCCCTTCGCTCCGGGGGCCCATGCTGAGAGCTTCTTAGTGTCAAACTTGGTGTCCCTGAGTGATGCTGTGCCACCACGACTCCTTCAGGCTCTGCCTGATGCTCAGGGAGGTGCTGAGGCTGAGGCCCTAGAGAACTGGGGATGAGGGGCCCAGGGTGTCCCCTAGGTTGTCCCTCAGTCCCAGAGTGTCCACCCACTGCTGGGTGTTCATGCATTAATTAGCGGCTGTCAGCAGCCCTACCTCACACAGTGGGCAGGTGTTGGCTTCTGGCTGTTAAAATCATCAGACGCCCTTCCTTTCAGCTGATTCCCCTCATCCCTTGAGCTGGGTTTTTCTGCTAGCTTCCCGGCCCTCCCTCTGTCCTCCTAGATGTCTCCGTTGGAGTCCCTTCCCTTGCCAGTCTCCCCGGCTGCAGCGGGCCCCCTCCGGTCCCTCCCCGCCTCGAAGGATGTGCAGCATACTATTAATAACTCAGGGCCCTCTGCCCTCCTTCCTGCAGCTCTAACTGTGGAAAGAGCTCCTGCTGGCCTGGCTCCATGCTGGGGGGGTCCCCGCGTGGCTTGGGGGAGCACTCACGCATGACAGGCTCACCCATAGTGGAGCCCCTAACTCTGCCCAGGCATGTGGAGGCAAAGGGAAGGTGGTCTGGGAAGAGAGCCACTACTCAGCAGACCTCAGGGTCCTCCTTAAATTCTGGCAGTTGCCCTCAGCACCCCAGGCTGACAACAGCCATTCCTGTGGAGTTTCTTGAATCTGTCCAGCAGCCTGTCTGGCGGTCTGTCCTCACCCTCTGCTGCCCCTGGCCCTCTGCTCACCCTGCAGTCCCCCTGCAGGGGTCTCCTCTGATGAACGGGCCCAGCTCCTGGACATCTGGCCCAGCCTTGTGCAAACTTTCTCCCCTCGCCTCCCCTCCTTTCTCCCTCCCTCTGTCCCAGGCTGCTGTGCAGCGAAGCGGCCTCCTCCACCTCCCTCCCTCCTCCCTCCTCCCTCCCGAGTCTGCAGCGTGACTGGAAATAGGCTGAATTAATCAGCAGATTGGAGCCCCACTCGGCTGCGCCTGGTCTCTGCAGAACTCTCCCTCCTCTCTGTTCCGTTCTCTCGCTCTTTGGAGGGCGGTGTTGGAAGTTCCGGGAGCCGGCTTCTCCCACTCAGCCTCTCCCGATGCTCTTTAAGCAGGCAGAGCTATGGATGCCCCCGCAGGGCAAAGGCGGCAAGGTGAGTACGCCAGCTCAGTGGAGAAATGTCTGTGGAGAGTGGCTTGTCCTCGCTTTGTGCCGGAGTCTCTGGCTCAGGAATTGCCTGCAAACGGTGTGGAACCAGGCAGCTCAGGTGATGACAAGGGAGTGTGCCCCTTGGGAGGGGACGGGGTCAGGGATGGGGGCCAGAAAGCCAGTGTGTCCATGTTGCTGCCAGCCAGCCCCTCTCTGCACAGGACTGGAGGCTGAGCCTCTGTGGGCTGCTCTGCCCACCCCAGGGACAACCTATCTAGGTACGCTAGGACCTGGTCCCTGTGCACAGGACAGTGGCTCTGGTATCAGGTGCCAGGCGTGGATGTCAGCCCTCCCTGGGGCCGTGAGGGGGCCTTTCTCACTGGTGCGCATGGGTGACTGAGACAAGCGCTCCGGAGGGCTTGTGGTTGCAGGGCTCATGGGATAGTGGGGGTGCTGGACCTGAAAGAATGAGGAGGAAGAAGCCCCCCTGCCTGGGCTTTGGTCGGCCGGCCTGCAGAGAGGGCCAGGCTGTGCCTGGCCGATCCCAGAAGGCTGTAACGTTAGGGCTGAAACAACCAGGTGTGCAGTGGCTGAGTGTGTGCTTCGATGATTCGGGCATTGCGTGCAGTCCAGCTTTGTGTCCCCTCCCACCTGCATTGGCCAAGGAGCCTGTGACAGTGGGACCTAGAAAAGCCACCGGGCCCAGCTGGTCCTACTCAGTGGTCATGTACTGTTGTCCGGGACCACCAGTGTCAAGGCCTGCGCTCAACCCTGCCTTCCTGTGGCTGGGCAACCTTGATTCTGCTTGCTCCCCAAACAGAAGGGCAGTAGGGGGGAAATAGCTGCTGGGAGGAGTCCCCTAAGGGCTGAGGGCTCCGGCTTTACCTGAGAAACCTGGTTGAGGTGGGCGTCAGGGGCCTCAGGAGTACTGACTCTGAGAGACTCGTTAGAGGGATGCAGCTACCCAGCCTTGGACCTTGCAGGGCTGCTCGGATTCCAGAGCAGGGTCTGCACGGCCCTGCTCCCCTCCGATGGCAGCAGAACCAGCACAGGTAGCAGTGCACCTCTGCACCCGCCTCACCTGAGCTCCCAGGTGATTCTCTTCATCAGCTCCAGTTGAGCCGGAGCCGTTAAAACGGGGTGGGCTTGTTCATCTGCAGAGCATCCAGGCTGGTCTGCGTGGGTGGGAAGACCTTTCTTAGGCATCGGCCAGCAGCGCTGGCGTGGTGCCTGGAGGGTAGGAGTATCTGAACACCTGGGAAGCAGATTTCCCCTTGACCCCTTGCTTCCTGTGGTCTGAGCAGGAATGTGCTGACCCCAGACTGAGTGAGCGGGATGCAGGTTCTTATTCTAAACGAACACACCTGCTCCCTTCCAGGGGCTCGGGGACCCAGCCCAATTCTGCTTTGAGGGATGCTGGTGGAGCCTGCCCCCTGACCAGCCAATTCTCAGCCCGTGCAGAATTTCCTTCAGAGAGTATAAAGGGCTTCCAGCAAGCTCTGTGGCTTTGGCCCTGACACCTGTGGGGAAAAGCTGAGGCACACTGAGAGGAAGCACCGATTTTGCCCTAACTTGACCTTCCTGCCAGGGAGGGGTGAGGTGTCGCTGCTCCGTGTAGGTGAACGTGGAGAGCCCGGAGAGTAGGTTGGTGAACGTGGATGTTCCGTGAGGTAAACATGGAGGGCCGTGGCCCAGAAGGCAGCCTGTGCAGGCAGGCATTTGCTCTGGAAGGCATGTAATTACTGAATGGTTTGTCTTCCCCTGCTGTGTTGTCTTTAATCGCCAGTCTGAAGATTGGTGCTCCTGGCCAGACACAACATTCGGGGGCAGAAACACATGGTCAGCGCCTCAGCACGGCAGCCCCCTCCCACCTCAGCTGGTCCTGCCCCAGCATCTGCCACCTGGGCCCACACCTCTCACACCTGCAGAGGAACAGAGTGCAGGGTCTAGGTAGCTGGGGACACAGAGAAAGAGAATCGATTTGAGGTAGGGGAGTGCCCTGGGTTTGGGGCTGCTGGGAACTAGGTGGCTGATGTCAGGATGGCTGAGTTCCATGGGAGAGTGGTCGTAGACTTCTCAGAGCAGTGTGAGCAGGTGGGAACTGGTGAGCATCCAAGGTGTAAGTCCTGGGCCCCGCCTGGCTCTCCAGGGCCCCTCTCGGCCTCAGCCTCTGCGTTGCCTCCTCGTTGCCTTGCCTCACTGGGCGTTGTTGCTCCTGAGCCTGGTGCTCAACCCAGGCTGTGTCCCAGGTGAACTGTGGCCCTGCCCTTCTCCCTCCCCATCCCAGTCTCTGGCTTGTGGCCTTTCCCACCTTCCCTGATGTTCTTTATCGTTTCTGGAGGCCTGGTTTAGGCAAGTCCTTCCCGGGGGAGCTTCCCTGTATCCGTGGCTCTCGGTGGCTGTGGAAAGTGAGTGCAGGGGAGACCAATGGGGAGGCCCAGAAGGCAGTGGTGGTTCTGGAACACAGCGCCTGGGACATTAGTTTTAAATGGCTGAATGAGCTCTCACAGCCGGCGCTGGGAGCTACAGACTGCCGTGGCAAATAGAAACTGCCCGACGGCACACCCCTTCAAGTGGCACCAGGCACGTGCCATATCTGCCATACCTTAGCCAGGCTTCTGACTGGAGGCCCAGGCTTCACCTCCTGGCCTTCAGCCAGCTGCTGTGCTTGTCATTCTCTTCCCTTAGCATTCACGGGTGGGTGGCATCACCTCTTCCCACCCCACCCTTAGACCTGAGAAGTGGTCTCCTTTTCCTTCCCGCCTCCCCAAGTCTTGCTTCCTTCCATAGCAGGAGGTCACAGAGGCTAAGGTGCAGACTTGGTCTTCCTTCCTGGGTGTTCATGTGTCTTGGATCATGGCCTTGCTGGTGGGCAGGGGGTGGGTGCCTTGGAGTCCAGTGTTTACTCGTGCTGGGGTGTGGCCCTGCCCACAGGGCCATTTCTTTCTGAGCTGAAATAACCAGTTTATCCCCTTTGCTAAGAAGCAGCACTTATCTTCATAATCCCCCAAAGTCACTGTGGAGAGCTGGGATTAGGTGTGATTTAGGGGAGGGAGCTGGGCAGTCTATGGACCGGGTCTTCTGGAAGCCTCCTTGGCCTTCAGGCAAAGGGCGCTGGCAGCAGGCCCAGCACCAGGGGCCCTGCTCATGGTCCCCCAGGTGCCAGGGCGAAAACAGGTGCGTCCTGCCCCCCAGGAACCCTGTGGTATCGGGGTGTGTCTTGTGAAGGGCCAGGCCAGGTTGCCAGTCAGAGAGGAGGGGGTTCCAGAATGTTAGTGTGCAGAGCCAGGGTGGGAGGTGGGCAGGCAGGTCTGTAGGGACAGGTGTGAAAGGGGTAGGGGAACGAGACAAGGCCACCAGGCCACACCAGGTCCTCGGCTCGGCTACCTTTTGTCAGGACCCCTCAGCAGGGATCCCCAGAGCCCTTTCTTGGTGGCCCAGGTTTGGGGGCTTGCTCCTCTTGCTCAGACTTTTCCTGATGGAAATTCACCATAATGTTCCCAGGTAGCTCCCGGGAGAGGCTCACTCCTGCTCAGGCACTGCCTTTCTGGGGCATCATTTTTCCTAGAACTCTGAGGCTGGGGTTCTATACATCACATTCTACCTGGAGAGGCCTCACGCCCGGGAGACTGGATTCAGTGGTGTGGGGTGGGGCCTAGACACAAACGTTCCCAATAGCTTCAGGGGTTTCTGCTGCAGAAGCCCCGATTAAGTCACCACTGGGGTCATTGGAGCACACGTGCATCCATTAGCCATCCGTTCACTTGTCCACTGTTCACTGAGCTGCTCCTGTGGCCAGCTGCCTTAGCTATGGGGGGTGGGCTACGGGGATGGAAGACACACAGTACCTGTTCTCAAGGAATTTGTAGTCTAGTGGAAGAGGCAGACGTGACAATCTATGATTACAGTTCTGTGTGCTGCAGGCTGTGAGCCAGGGTGCTGTCAGAGACAGACCCCCCTTCAGGGCAGCACTGGGTTCAGGGCAGTTTCCCGGAGGACGTAATGTTGGAGCTCTCTTGAAGTAAGAGGCGGAAGGTATGGTTCTTGGCACTAACAGGACTGGGGGAGTCTGGGGTGGTAAGGACTAGCAGAGAAGGGGGCTTGAGAAGGTGGCAGGTCCTGAGGACCATCCTCATAGCTTATGCCCAGGGGTATAGGCTTAGTCGAAGGGAAGGGTCAGGTGGTAAGAGATCCCTTACCCTGGCTGAGGTGGTTCAGAGAGTCTGGAAAAGGAAGAGCCTGAAGGTAGAGACCGCAGGTGGGGTTGAAGTGGGGTTGGGGTCATGTCTGTGGTAACTGCCAAAGAGCTGATTCTCGTGGGGGCAGGGGGCAGGTGATGACTACTGAACTTTTGGGGGGATACTGAAACAGAGGCACTTGGGAAGCACCAGTGAGGCATTTGAATAAGGGGGTCTGCACTTAGAGTGGTGGTCAGGCTACAAGCGAACTTTAGGAGTTGTGAGCTTATAGGTAGTAGGTGAATCCCCACATGTGGATGAGGTTACCCTGGAAACATATATACATTTGGAAAGATGTCCTAGGATGGGCTGTGGGCTAGATGGATGAAAAAGAGCAGAAAAGAAGGGGCCTGCAGGAGAGAAGCCAGGGAACAGGTGAGACTCAGAGAGGACCCACTGGCCAGTGAGGTCATGTAAAATAAGGGCATCGTCAGAAGTGCTCGATGGTGCCCGGCTACCACTGTCAACCACTCAGAGGGGAATAAGTATAGGAGATCCTGAGTAGAGTGGGAGAACAATGTGGAACACAACTCAAAATCATAAAAAAAAAAAAAAAAAA